TGTACTTAAGGTAACGGCTTGTAACAGTGCCATCTAGTGTTCAAATTGAGAACTGTGGTTATAGCTGACTGGTGTGAATAAAACTGGTTATGTTCTGTAAAACTCATCATACTATTACAGAGAAACAGGTGAAGACCACCATTTCACTTCAGTGATTTTTGTAGACTAATTTACTTCCATCTGTAACTTTCTCTGAGCTTCTTTGATGTTCCTACCATTTCAAAGCTCTCAACAAAAATGAAAAACAATCCACTGGACTTTGTTTCCAAGTTTGTAGACGGTTCTCGTCCCGTCCAGGAAGCTTTTTCAATTCAAAATGTTAGGAATAGCTTTGAGTTCAAGGTTTTATACAGTAGCCCAACAAAGCCTTGTTTTTGTTTTGAAAATTAGCTAATTGGAAAGGATGAAGGGGTCCACCGCTTTGGAATGGGGGTCGTTTGGCTTCTTTTGTCAGCTTGCAATGCCCTTCACCAGCATATTCCTCTGAAGAAAACTAGGTTTCAGAATGCCCCGAAATCCCAACCATCAGGATGAGGCTGCAGAGCTTGATCAAAGTAAAACAGGCCACCATGTGGTTTCATACTGAGCCTGCAGCAATGAGTATAAATCATTGATCAGGAACACCCGGCTCATTGATTTTAGATCGCGCCCAGCAGTCCTTCACTGACAAACATTAAGATGGATCCATTTAGGGTGGAGGATCCATCAGCTGCTGTTGAAAAGCCGTATCTGAATGACGTCTCGGTGCTGATCTGCTGTGTAGACGGCATGGATCCGTTTCACTGCTTTCTCTGTGTTGACTCAGTTGTGCTGTGAACCAAACACCTCCTTCTCTTACATCACCTTCTCTATTGTTTCAGCCAAATAAAAGGAGTATTTATAGAAACACGCTGGTTCTAATGCGGAGCAGTTTGTGGGGTTTATTTCACAGCAGCAGGTTGGAGCCGTCTCTTTATGAATAAACCGTTTTAAGCTCTTTCTTCCCAGAATTCAATGGGTTTCACTTGTTTGTAACATTTTTGCCTTTATTTAAACTCCATGAAATAAAAAAAGCCTAATTTTTCAAATTTGATCTGTTTTTTGGTTTAATCTTATTGAATTGAGTGAAGTTAATTCAGTCTAAAATCTGTTCTTCTTTTGAACAGCTTCATTTTTTACTCCAATTAGAACATGTGTTACCTTGACATTAATTGTCGTGGTTCAGATTATTTCCCAGATCAGTGAGTTTCTCTGCTCCGTGGGTCTCAGGGTCACAGGTGGAGAGCTGTTTGAAGATATCGTAGCCAGAGAATATTACAGCGAAGCCGACGCCAGGTGAGAGCGCATGATCCTCCTCCACACCTCATTATACTTTCCTCCAGGCTTAGTCTGAGCGTATGTGAACTTTGACCTTTATCTGCAGCCACTGCATCCAGCAGATCTTGGAGGCGGTGCTTCACTGTCATCAGATGGGTGTGGTCCATCGAGACCTGAAGGTATGGTCTGACAGATTCTCCACATTCTGAAGTCTAGATGATAGAGGGACTCAGATTTTTATTTTGAAGTTTAAAATATTGGTGCAGCAACGTTTTCGTATTCTTGTAGAAAATTTCTCTTTTCTCCTTCCAATGTGACTGATTTGATTCCACAAATGTTCTTAGCTTCAGTAAACGATCCTGTAAAGTTCATGCAGTCCACCCTTGTTCTGTGAAATGTAAATCTGCATAATTACCTCCCCGATGATGCCATATAAGGCTACAACTTCCCACGCTGTCAGAAGGTGTTCATTCATAAAAATCCCTTGAAGACAAGAGAAGAAAAACTTTAAAGGTTCAGAGATGGAGGTTCTGCTGACTGAGAGCTGAGCAGCAGGATTAAAGGACCAGAAAAAACTAAGCAGTGAAATAAATCACAGAGCTGGAAATGATGTAGTTGTACTGTTATAGAAGTAAGAATAAAATAAAAAAATTAAATAATATTAAAAAAAATTAATATTTGATGTGAAAACAGTCGAAAAGTACTAATAGAGGCAAGAGGAGCAATATCTCATGTAAATATTAATATGAGTTCACCATCAACCAACACAACAACATCCTGCTAAATCTTTTAATTCACACACACACCTGTGCTGTACATCTCCAGACCTCATCTGTCATCCCTTCATCCATTCTCCATCTTTCTCAGACATAAACATAAAAATGTTAACGATTAAACTCTAATCTAATGAATTCAGACCCAAACATCCACATTTAGTATAATAACAAAGCCAAGGAGCTGCCATGAAGGGAAATGAATGAAAGTCTGAACGTTAGAGGAGCTTTGCTGAACTTTTAACCATTTTCTGTTCCAGATGTTATTTCAATAGTAGCTTGATCTCACATAGAATCACTGACTGTTCTTTCTTTGGATGAAATGACATCCCATGGATACTGACATGCCAGCTGCAGGTGAAGTGACCCATAGTTCTGTCATCAGCTAATAAAAATATAATTATAATTGCAGGGCTGCATAATAATGATGCAGCCTAATAAAATGGACCATTCCTTCTAAGTAACAACAAATGTTGTCATTTAACCAGCATATGTTCATACATGGGCCATAAGATACAGGTAAGTTATCTGATCGTTGACATAAGTTACTCATAAGTCGTGGCATCTAGCTTATCCAAAACCTATGAGTAACTTAACTTGTGAATAATTTATGCGTAACTTATCAAGAACTTATCTCTACTGGATATCAACGTATCTGACATGTTCCAGACGAGCGCGGAACGTGTTTCTAACTTACAGCTACTGTATAATGGCGTATTGGCAGCATTTTGGTATAAAAGAGGTTAAAAGGAGGAAACTATCAGTTCTCCTCCAGACTTCATCCCCATCATAGGGTGAGAGAGAAGGTGAGTGTGATAGATCCTCCCTCAGTTCACGCCAACGGCCAACAAACTTCCCAGCAGACCTGANAAATATAATTATAATTGCAGGGCTGCATAATAATGATGCAGCCTAATAAAATGGACCATTCCTTCTAAGTAACAACAAATGTTGTCATTTAACCAGCATATGTTCATACATGGGCCATAAGATACAGGTAAGTTATCTGATCGTTGACATAAGTTACTCATAAGTCGTGGCATCTAGCTTATCCAAAACCTATGAGTAACTTAACTTGTGAATAATTTATGCGTAACTTATCAAGAACTTATCTCTACTGGATATCAACGTATCTGACATGTTCCAGACGAGCGCTGAACGTGTTTCTAACTTACAGCTACTGTATAATGGCGTATTGGCAGCATTTTGGTATAAAAGAGGTTAAAAGGAGGAAACTATCAGTTCTCCTCCAGACTTCATCCCCATCATAGGGTGAGAGAGAAGGTGAGTGTGATAGATCCTCCCTCTGTTCACGCCAACGGCCAACAAACTTCCCAGCAGACCTGACGCTTACTTTCTTTTTCTGTATTTATTTATTCTTTATTTTCTGGCAGGCGGTAAACAGCATTTAGGTTAATACTGCGATAAAATAAATTTTTTAACTAAAAAAACACTGGCTTGTGCATCATTTCATGGGCATTACACCCATGCATAAGTTAGGCTCGTTTGTCGTTCGACATACTCTCTGGACTCTTTATGAATACTCTTATATTATATAATATTTCTATGAATACATAGAAATTTTGGTGTATGCCGGCATTTTTGGAGATTCTGGGACGTCATGCATACGCTGGCTAAATCGTCAAGGTGTGACAGGGCCCGAAATTACAGTGGGTTTGTTAAAGCGGGTGAATGATGGAATCTTTAATTCCAACACCACTGCGATAAGCAAACTGCAGGGGATCCTGACAGCTGCTTGTTTGTTTACTGAGGTGAACCAACAGAAGTGTCTCTATGACCTTCCTGATGTGGGATGTCTGATCTGTAGCCATTGAGGACTGCTGTCTGAGTCTTTGTTTAGATTTTGGACAATATGCAAACTAAGTGTTGTCAAATTAATCATATTTGAAAGGGGTATATGGGTTTTAACGTGTTTTGGCTTCCATAACGAACTAAACTTAACCACAAAACAAACATTTCATAGCAAAATGTTCCCTCAGAGAGACTGAGATATCACTGCTGTTCCGGTCCTGATGCATATCTAACGGGAGCAGATGGCTCAGTAAACAGGAGATACTGCAATTGGATGCCGACAGGAAAATGTGATGGGGATCAATTTAAATGCTGGAGAAACTTTAAATGGAAGAAAACAGGATCTATTTTCTCATGCAAAGCAGCGAACATTGCTCCACCAGCAGCTGCTGCTTTTCACTCCTATCATATGAGATTTTTCGCTATGATTTGTTTTTAAGTTAAAAAAATTTGATCACTGCGCAAGATTTCTCAAAACGACACCTATGGTTCAGAAAAATAGCAGGATGCTGCTGAACTAAACTTTCATAATGAAATTGCCTCAAAAGGACAAGCTGTGCCGCTATGTCTGTGTCTGATTGTCCGTCCTAACCCTTAAATCCCTCAGTCACCGAATAGAGCGGGGACTATGAAGTTGACTTTATTATAGGGTGACCATATTTTCATTTGGGAAAACCAGGACATAGAGATGTCTGTGGCATGCACTCGCTTAACGTAGGCCTACGTAATCCTACAATAACATTATATTTAAGACGATAGATTTATTAAAAATGCTTTTCAGTAAAAGTCAACAGCAATAACTCCAATAACAAACGATAATTTTATTCAAAATGTACTTATTGAAAATGCTTAAGAAAGAAATAATGTCTCATCATCGGGATTTGCTCCGTGATCAGAGGAAATGTTACTTGGCCCCGAACAGTGGTGAAAATTGAAAGTTTAGTTTAATATAATACAACTCTGTGAATAGTTCCGTCTGAAATGAATGAAAATAGTTGTTTTAATGGTTATTGAGTCAGATATGTGGCGGTAATGTTTGATTTATCTAAAGGTTTTTATCTGTTACTGTGTAAATGGGTTTGGCTGTAATTAAAGGACAGATTCTAATATATCTGCAGGGTGGGGACTATAAATCTGATAGGAGTTTAATTTTTTTATTGCTGTTTTGCACAATATGCTTAACTAAGTATTTTTTGTTGTTGAATATTAGAGATTTTGCAGATATATTTTGTAGATACATTGTTTAGATTTACTTATATATTTCTAACCCTTTTATGGAACAGAAAATCCCTTTATTGTTCCACAATGGGAAGATTTACAGCAGAAAGATTATTGAAAATGGTCACACAAATGAGGACCTTAGAAAAATGTATAAGAATAACATAATAGGGAAGAGTTAAAATATAAAAAATAAAATTCTGTAAATTGTTTTAACAATGTAAAACTGGAGAATTAATAACCAATATGCAGCTATGGACATTTTTACAGTAAGTTGAAAATAGCAGCAACATCAGAGATGTGCAGAATGACAGCAGCAGGTTATTTAACTGACTAAGGTTTCTATCATTACATTTGATTTTATGTGTTCCTGCTCCCGGTGGTTGGAATCTTTATTCCACTCTGGATTCTTGTGAGTGTAGTCTTTGTTCACTTTAACTTTTAAAAAAATAAATAAATAAACAAACCGTTTTGAAAACCTCAGTATTCATTCTGTTCCTGCTTTGTGTGTCAACTTACACGGTTGCTAAGCAACAGAGCATACGGCGGTAAATCCGCCGAAGGGTGGACCTGTTCGAATTTACAGCCAAAACTCTTCCGGCCTCCTTATTGTCAAGGACTTCAAAGGATCCAGTCTAGGTAGACCGCGTCCTTGGAGGATGCAGCCTAGGTTTTCGAACAGAGCCTCTGATTAAGAACAGGGCTGCCCGCACTGACGCGGCTCAGGGATTACGTCACACGCAGCGTCGAAAAAATCAGGACATTTCCTCACTTTCTAAAAAAAACCCGGGACGCCCGGGACAGGACGTGAAATACGGATATGTCCCAGGAAATACGGACGTTTGGTCACCCTACTTTATTAGGAACTCAGTTAGCTAACTGTTTCGACAGATGATCACTGCTTTTCGCTCAATGTTGGTCACCTAACTCCACCTCCCCACCTGCGGGTCTGCGCCATCTTTGTTACTTGTTGCCGCCACAAGAAATTCCATGGTGCTTTTTACGAGGAGAGCTCTTGCGAAGCAAATGGGATATATCTGTTGTCTAGTGACCATGGTTGATCACTACTTTTCATAGTGCAATGTGGGGAATTTAGAGTAGAGTCCTGCACGGGTCGACCCGTTTATTTTTATTTATGTATTTTTTACCCGCAAAAAAGCATTTTAGCGGGTGACCCGTCGGGGACCCGCGGGTACCCGACCCGTTGCAGGACTCTAATTTAGAGTCCACTATTTATTCATCCACTAGCCATTCAAATGCCCAGCTAAAATGGTGTAACCACTCTATAGTGCACTATATAGATATTAGAGCGGACGTTTGGACCCAGCCTATGATGTTCCTTTTCCAATATAGCAATTAGCAATTCTTTCCCTGCTCTCTGTCTGCTCTGTTGGGGTAACCAGCTTATTATTATAGGGTTGTGGTCCATCATAGGTGAAGTTGTACAGATTTAAATCCTCTTTAAATTCTGATGTCCAAATAGCATTGCTATCCCTTGTTTACTGCTGTAAAGTTAAGGGGACTATCCAACATCATGTCACTTTCGGTACCCTTGTTTTATAAAACATTCTCACAAAAAGAGCCCAAAAAGCTTAAATCCTTTATATTAAAGTAATTTAGATTCAACAACACCAAATTCCTTAAATATTCTTTTGAACACTGGTAAAAGTGAGGGTCTAACCTTCAATCTTGTCATGATCTGCCTGATAGCTCGCCTAAATTACTCATGCCTTTCACCTGCTTCACTCTTTCCAGCTCCTAATTATCACTCATCACATCCACCTGCCGGTTTCCCTTATATTGGGCTCAGTTCCAGCTATCATGGCCAGATCATTGTTTGATTTCTGTTTCTCCTGTTAGTCAGTTTTGTTAAGTTTAGTTAGTTCCAAGGTTCTTATCCCTGTTCCAGTGAGGACTTTATTCTTAGCCAGTGTCCTCAGGCCAGTTATTCCCTAACCAGTGGTGAGAGTGTTTCAGTGATTCTGTTTGCCTGATTCCGTTCCCTCTCACCCACTGATCCGTTCTGTCCCTGCCTGATCTGCCCACCTGAACCTTAGTTGGACTCCTGCTGGATTCTGCCTCTTTGTGCATTTTCTGTCTGAGCTGGATACTGGACGCACAGGTCTCTGAACCTGCCTTTGCACTCTGATGGATTCCTGGAACCTCTATCTGTCTGTTCCTGAGTGGAACTTACTGTTAAACCAGAATAGGTGATGGGTTGCGCCCCACACCTGCAGACGCTGCAGTCGAAGTTCCACAGCAGCGCGCTATTGTTCTGTTTTTGTTTTAATAAACGTTTTGAACTTTCCTACTGGCTGTGTCACCCTAAATACTGGGTCCATATGTTCTATTTTATGACAAAGCTGCTCTTTAAATCTCTGTTTGCTGGTATGGTATTAAACACACAATACAGCATTGTCGGCATTCTGCCTGGGTCCTCACTGGAGTTTGGAGTTAGCACACTTTATGTAAAACACAGAGCAGCTAGATTTTTCAGCACAAATTTTGTAAAGCAAAGGGCAGGGTTAGCATGTTATCGTGTGTCTCTTGTCTTCAGCCAGAAAACCTGCTGCTGGCCTCCAAATCAAAAGGAGCAGCCGTGAAGCTGGCAGACTTTGGCCTGGCCATTGAGGTGGAGGGAGACCAGCAGGCTTGGTTTGGTGAGGCAGTCCTGACCGCAGTACTCATTCACTTATTTTACTGAAAAATCATCTCCATCTGTTTCATATAGTCCAGTTACTCTACTTATTATGTCTTTGTATTAATAAATGTGCATTCTGTTTATTCAGTGGGTTTTTTTTTTTGTTTTAAAGAAACTTTGATCCAAGTTTAGATTTTTTTTTTTGCCTTTTTCCTCAGAAAATAAAATGTAAAAATTTATTTTAGTTTTCTATTATTTAAGTTATATTTTGCTATAAAAATGTAAATTTACCATCTTCTATTTATGTAAAATGTATGTATCTTTTTTGAACTCAATGACTTCCTTTTGTATTGTCTTATTTCGCACTTTTTATGCATGCATTCTGGTCTTTTTGTTGTGTAACTCCATCAAACAGCAGGGCATTTTTTTTTAGCAACCACCTCAGTCACTATATGGCAGCACATGTTGTCACTGGTATATTTATCTAACTTATTGTGTTTGTTTGTGTGTTTTCAGGCTTTGCAGGAACACCCGGTTATCTGTCCCCAGAGGTTCTGAGGAAGGATCCATATGGGAAGGCTGTCGACCTCTGGGCCTGCGGTCAGTTTCCTATTTCATCTTCTATCCTCTTATTTCTGTATTAAACTTGAATCTGTCACTTTTATACAGACGATACACAGCTGTACAGCTGCTGGAATCCTTTAGTTTTATTTACACATCAAATGGTAAGCATTTTCAATTCAAAATGTTGGGTTGATTTCAAGGTTTTATACAGTAGCCCAACAAAGCTTTGTTTTTGTTTCGAAAACATGCAAATTGGAACAGATGAAGGGGTCCAACCCAATGACCCCCATTCCGAAGGAATGGACCGCTTCATCTGTTCCAATTTGCATGTTTTCGAAACAAAAACAAAGCTTTGTTGGGCTACTGTATAAAACCTTGAACTCAATGCTAATTCAGACATTTTAAATTGAAAAAGCTTCCTGGATGGGAAGCTAAACATCTCCAAACTTGGAAACAAATTCTAGTGGATTTTTTTTCATTTTCTTTTTTTGCAGGGACTTTTAATGTTATTTATGATTTTATTTCTTCCAAAACTCCAAACTGGAACCAACAGCGGAGTTCTGATTCCGTTTACCTGTTCAGGTTTAGAATCCCTTTTTTTGGTCAAACTCTGTATATTTTACTGATGATTTGAAGCCACATCCTCCACCTGAAATCTCAGGTCACCATGCCAACCTCTCCTGGTACTTCCCAGGTCGGAACCTGTTTAAAGTTGGACATTAAACCACTTTCCTTTTTATCCAATGTGTCTGACATAGTTTGGACTCTTGTGTAGTTATTTGTGATTTTTCTTAAAGGACCGCGTTAAGGCTTCTAGAACTAAAATACTCTCCTTACTGTTCTCTTTGTTTGCTCCACAGGTGTGATTCTCTACATCCTGCTGGTCGGTTATCCTCCGTTCTGGGATGAAGACCAGCATCGTCTCTACCAGCAGATCAAAGCTGGAGCTTATGATGTGGGTCACGTGACTCAGTTTGATGTCACAGATATGAAGTGAGGCTGCTAAGCCGTTAATCAGGCTTTATGTTCTCTCCTTCTCCACTAGTTTCCTTCCCCAGAGTGGGACACGGTGACTCCTGAAGCCAAAGATCTAATCAACAAGATGTTGACCATCAACCCGGCCAAACGGATCACAGCGGCAGAGGCACTCAAACATCCCTGGATCTCTGTAAGTCTTTATCCCCGCTGCAGCCTCAAGGTGATGAGGATGATGGTAAAATGATGTGCTCTCTTTCTCCCAGCATCGTTCCACAGTTGCATCCTGTATGCATCGACAAGAGACTGTCGAGTGTTTGAAGAAATTCAATGCCAGGAGGAAGCTGAAGGTGAGGATTTTCAAAATAAGAGTCTAGGATCAGTATTACTCTGAGATTAATGTGGCATTATGTCAGACTGCTGCTGACAAAACGCGAAGGTCCAGATTGTAACAGCTTCTTTCTGCAGGGAGCCATCCTGACCACCATGCTGGCCACCAGGAACTTCTCTGGTAAGATCTGTAGATCTCCTTCCTAAGCTGAGTTCAGAGGTCACCTTAGAAGCCAGACTCTTTCTAATTGGCTGTCAGGGTGTCACTTCATGACCTCTGACCTGAAAGTTTGTGTTTCAGTAACAGGAGCTTTAACCACAAAATCCACCAATCAACTGCCAGCATACACGGTGTTGGCAGGTTAGCACTCTGTTCTGTTGTTGTTGTTGTGCGTGGTGATGTTAGCAGCAGCAGCTGTTGTGAACTTTCACAAACTCTGAGGTCTAAAAATAGCAGGGAGGGAAACCACCACGGTCTGCAGCTGTCTGCACATGCTCAGTAAGATTTCCCCAGGAGATCAGGGTGGTTCAGTCAGACTGTTTGATCAAAATCAACCCATCCTGATAAAAAAAAAAAAAAAGCCTGCAGGGCCATCCTGTAGGGGGTTCCGGACAGAATAAAGGCCTGTTTCTCAGAGCAGAGTATGATCAGTTTTTCCCAAACAGGTCACATCCTAGAGGAATAGCTGAATGGTAAATTCAGTGCTTAAAGGATTGTTTCTGTGCCTTAGAACAATGTTTAGTTGAAAGGCCCTGAACTCCAACCCAACAAATAAACAAAACAAATGGAAACTGGGAAGCAGGATCCCTGAAATATTTATCATCACTCAAACCAAAGAACTTTCCAGGACATTTGATGTGGCGCCTCAGGTCAGAGTAAAAATCAGACACACAGAGATGGAATGGGATCCTTTTCCAGTTATTCTCCAATATAGAGTCAGTCAGGATGCACTTCCTCCTATGCTTCCTTGTTTTATTCCAACATCTACTGATCCAGACACCAGAGTGGGTCAGAGTAGACTAATGTCCCATTCCCACTGGCTGAAAAACCTGTTTAAACCCGGCATCGGGTTTTGTGGCAGTGGAAACAGGTCACTGATTCATATCTACCCGGGTCATGTGACTCGAAAAGCAACTCGTGTTAAAATCGCCTCGGGTCTAAGCGGCATGCTGTGGGGACACCAGACCCGGGTTGACCCGCTAAATTACATGACAGCATTGAACACCGCGCCAGTAGCTTCTGATCTAACAAGCCAAACATCTCGCTCTACATTCGATATACATGGAGCAGCACTGGTTAGAGGGAAACAGACAGATTAAAAAACAATAAAGCTCACTGGCTAGCTACCCTGGCTTCCTTACATCTTACTCTCCATTGTTTACTTTTCTGATTTCTGTTGCACTGATGACATCATCAGCCAGCAAGATAGTGTGACCAGACACGCAGCAGTGGGGGACAGAGGCCATGCAGCTTGCCAGCGAGGGGTTAGACCCAGCTTTTTTTGCCAGTGGGAAGGGAGCCCGATACCGATTGTTAGTGGGTCGACCCATGTTTGAAAAACACGTTCAAACACGTTATTTTCTGAAGGAAAGAGGCAAAACATTTCAGTAAAGGACCAGAGTAAAATACAGAGCGCGGCTGCTAAAGAGGGACAAAGGTGGACCAGGTCTCCCTTACCTACAGGGTCATTACCTAGCAGCTCGGCAACGACCATGGAGCTGTTTATACTCATATAATTCATTCAGTTTAATAAAACTTTATTGATCCCAGAGGAAATTTGAACACTATCTCAACTCATCCAGATGATGTAGGTGTTGATGCTGGAGGCAGGAAGTATCTTCTGTACAGTTCATCTGGGGAAATTTCTGACTGAAGACACTCTTTTGGTGTTTTAAGAGGCATTATGGAGTTTTCTACTGATACTGCCACCTGTGGCCAAAAACAGAACTGCAGCGCTCTTCTGCTCGTTGTCGTTGCTCACCCTTATACGGGACAAGGTTTCTTTTGTGTTTGTTTTTTTGCTTTTTTGCACGTTACCTGGAGTTACAATTGATATCTGGGTTAAGCTGGATATCAGTTGCTTCTGAGTTTCCACAAAATCCATCTGGAATCTAACGCTTCGATTGCTTGCTAGGTTGGACCCATTAAACACGGACGTGCTGGACGTCACATCTGCAGAACAGCGCAGGAACTTCTGACTCAAAGCACATTTGGGAAAATAGGCTACAGGCTGATAGATGCATCAGAGCTGAACTACTGAGGTGTCATTCTGGTCATCAAACCATGAATTAGCACTAAAGATTCAAATAAAAAGGCTATTTTAAAGATATTTTTCAATAAAAGCTCACATAAAGTCTCTTTAACAATCTGATGAAGAGGATGCTCGCTGTTGTCCATAATTTTCTTCACTTAAAGAAGAAACCTTGGGTAATACTCTCTATAGTTTCTATTGCAGTTCTTAGAACAGAGCCAGCCTTCTTTATCAGCTGTTTAAGCTTCTTTCAGTCATTTGCTGCGATAATGTTATCCCAGCAGATGATGGAGGAAGAGATCTCACTCTGCATGTAAGACTGATTTTTGCTGCAAATACTGAAGGACCTAAGCTTCCTTAGGAAGTCCAGTCCCTTCTTGTAGACGGCTGAAAAGTTGCGTCTCCAGTCTAGTATGTCCAGGGGTCTAACAAGGTTTTTATACCGTCCTGCCCCCTTCTTTTCTTCTCCCATGACAAAAACAAAACAGTGGATTTGCAGTCAAGTCCACACACTCCTCAGAACCTGAATTGTTGCCTTCAGGTCATGTAACGGAGCCCATTGCACCGCTCCTTGAGCCAAACCTGGAAAGGCCAGCTGCAGGAGGAGCAAGGAGGTCCATCTTTCCAGCAACAACACAGAAACAGTGTGGGTGATGACATCACAAACTGTGGAGGACAACAACCAGAAACACGGGTGTTTCCCTTGGAACTGAAGGACTTCTTTGTCCATTCTAAGACACCACAGTAAGACCTGGCCACTCCAATCCTGCCTCCACCCAGTTCCTGCTACTTTTCATTTAACGTACAGGAACATGAGGTGAGACTGGTGCTCTGGGCGCTGAATCCCAGGATGGCCCAGATAGAGAACCCAGCAAGGTGCTCAACTAGTTCTCTCTGATCCTTGATAAGGTCTCCAACCTCTGCCCGGTGTGGTAGTCCTCCCATCCTGCTTTAAGCCAGCTATAATCAACCCGAGTCCAACATGGTCTCATATCTCCAGCTTTGATGATCATTGTCCTGTGGCACAGAGACTGTTCCTGCAGCACAGGGGCTCAAAGACCACCACCCCAGACTGACCTTCATTGTTTAAACAGGTCCAGAGACAGAGGCAGCCATTTTGACTGTTCTACGCTTTAGACTGCAACTCACCTGATGTTTCTGCTTCTGTTGTCAGACAATTCAGAAATTTCCCCTCCAGGGTCACTATCAAAACATGACAACATCAAACCTGATGAGTTACTCAGATCCTCTATAGGCGCCTCTCTACCCACATGGAGTGAATGAATAACAGACATGCAGGTCCAGCTACAGGTGCATCTTGTCACCTGAGATACTGCTCAAACTGTCAAGATCCTGCTATGAGTCTGGATCAATAATAAAATTATCACAGAATAATGTGGTTTTATCAGCTGTTTGAACATTCAACTAAGCACAACAGGGACTACGAATAGAGCCCTCTGACAAAAGCAATTCAGTATATATGCTAATCAGTCTTTCATATTCTAGTCAGTCTGTCATATCCTAGTAGCCTCTCTCATATCCTAGACAGTCTCTCATATATATGTATTTATATACTTTATATACTGTATACACTACCGTTCAAAAGTAAAGCACTGTACTTTTCAATGAAGATAACTTTAAACTAGTCTTAACTTTAAAAAAATACACTCTATACATTGCTAATGTGGTAAATGACTATTCTAGCTGCAAATGTCTGATTTTTGGTGCAATATCTACATAGGTGTATAGAGGCCCATTTCCAGCAACTATCACTCCAGTGTTCTAATGGTGTGTTTGCTCATTGGCTCAGAAGGCTAATTGATGATTAGAAAACCCTTGTGCAATCATGTTCACACATCTGAAAACAGTTTAGCTCTTTACAGAAGCTACAAAACTGACCTTCCTTCGAGCAGATTGTGTTTCTGGAGCATCACATTTGTGGGGTCAATTAAATGGTCAAAATGGCCAGAAAAAGAGAACTTTCATCTGAAACTCAACAATCTATTCTTGTTCTTAGAAATGAAGGCTATTCCATGTGAGAAATTGCTAAGAAATTAAAGATTTCCTACAACGGTGTGTACTACTCCCTTCAGAGGACAGCACAAACAGGCTCTAACCAGAGTAGAAAAAGAAGTGGGAGGCTGCGTTGCACAACTGAGCAAGAAGATAAGTACATTAGAGTCTCTAGTTTGAGAAACAGACGCCTCACAGGTCCCCAACTGGCATCTTCATTAAATAGTACCCGCAGTAGCCTGTTTGTGCTGTCCTCTGAAGGGAGTAGTACAAGTTAAGACTAGTTTAAAGTTATCTTCGTTAAAAAGTAAAGTGCTTTTCGTTCAAAAATAAGGACATTTCAATGTGACCCCAAACTTTTGAATGGTAGTGTATATACATATAATTTGTGTATATGTATATATAAAATGTGTGTATATGTATATATATGAATCCTGCACTTAAATCCATAGCATTTTTCATTTGGTTCCTTCCTCAGAAACGAGCCGATTATAAAATGAGAAAAGTAGAACAATCAGCACCAAAGAAGCAGTTTACCATCAGAGCACCTCAGTAGAGCAGCCTGATGGTTGTCCAAAGTTCTGATAATTTAGGTGCAGACATCAATGTGTCTGTCAGCAGCAGCAGCCGGACAAAACCAGACAGTGTGTTCTGTGTTGGCCTGCATCTGTTGGCTGTGGACACTCAGGAATGTGACCGACCCTCTACTCTGCAGCTATCTTAAGTTGATCCTAAATTTGGCCACACATCAGGGCGGGACCTCCCTCCATCTTTGCCCTGACAGCTGACCCACCGGCAGGTTTCCCTCTGAACTCAGCTTTCCGCTCTGAGAGCCCGGGTTCTCCTGCAGGGAACACCCAGACCATGCCGTCTCTGCTCTTCTCTGCATTCGTTCCTTTCTTTCTCACTCTGTTGCTTCTGTTTCTTTTCATTCTCATCCCTCGTTCAGGAGGAAAGAGTGGAAGCAACAAGAAGGCAGATGGAGTCAAGGTAAGAACCTCAGAGAGCAGCATGAACAGAACCAGAACCAGTAAGTTCCACTCTCACACTGACACACTGACTGTGCACTGTTTGCTTCTGTAGGAGTCATCTGAGAGCACCAACACCACCATCGAGGATGAAGACACCAGAGGTGAGATTCATCTGGTCCACAGACCTTTAGCTCAGAGATGGACCCACTAACTGTGTGTGTGTGTGTGTGTGTTTGTCTCAGTGAGGAAACAGGACATCATCAAAGTAACGGAGCAGCTCATCGAGGCCATCAGTAATGGAGACTTTGAGAGCTACACGTATGTAACACAATTCACCCGGCTCCTCTTCAGAGGCTTTTATTGTGAAGGTCCGTCATGGCTCTGATGCTCCAGGCTGACAGCAGGCTGCTGTCCATGCAGGGATTATGGACATCTCCTAACAGACATTAGCATAGCTAAAGATTCTAGAAACGTTTAAAATGTTCTAGAAATATAGATCTCTGTTTGGCCATCAGGTTGCGAGCTGCTTTCTATTCAGATCCTGATCCACAAATGGTCCAAAGTTCAGCTCTGAGACACTAAGCAGGAAAAGCGACAATTCAGCTTCTAGCTTTTCGTTCTAGTCTGGCTGAGAACAGGCAGGAAACCGTTGGGTCCAGAACCACACAGAACCATGGTCCTGGATGGTTCCAGAACCAGCAGCTCTTCACCCAAATTCTCTCATCTCATCTCAGTTTTTTTTTATCTGCACTGAACGATCTTCAGAAATGTTCTGTTCTGCTAAACCAGAACTTTCTGATCCAGACTTGCTTAGTCCTCCTTAACTGTCCTGGTTGTGATGCATTCAGGTTCAGGTTAGTCATATGCAGAGACCTGCTGTCCCTGCTGGTTCTGGTCTGGCTGATCAAACCTTAGACTCAGATCTCAATCTCAGAATGGAACCAGAATCTTCTGCTTCTGGCAGCAAAACTGTTTGAACTTTCATCAACTTTAGAATTTCTGATTTTTTTTCTAGGTATTTGTTCTCCTAAAGGAATCAATGTTCCGTCTGTAAAGAATGTCTTTCTCTGTGTTCAGTAAAATGTGCGACCCGGCTGTGACGGCGTTCGAGCCCGAGGCGCTGGGGAACCTGGTAGAAGGCTTAGACTTCCACCGCTTTTACTTTGAAAACTGTGAGTTTGTCTGAGGGTTTGAAGGATAGGCGCCGTCCTCTCACCTGCACAGGTAACCTTGGTGTCTCTGTTCTTGCAGTGTGGTCTAAGAACAGTAAGCCGGTCCACACCACCATCCTGAATCCCCACATCCATCTGGTGGGCGACGAGGCTGCCTGTATCGCCTACATCAGAGTCACACAGTACATCGACTCCAACGGCACCCCTCGCACCGCCCAATCAGAGGAGACTAGGGTGTGGCACCGGCGTGATGGGAAGTGGCAGATCGTTCACTTCCACCGCTCAGGGTCACCCTCCACCCTAAACAAGTAAGAACAGGTCAACGGGAACCGTCCTGAAGGCCTCATGAGAGTCCGTACAGAAAACCAGTCCGAACTATTCTTTGTGTTCTGGGTTCTGTGAAACGGCTGTTTCCATTCAGTGGTACCAAAGGAAAAAATTAGGTTCATTTGGGAAACAAAATAACTTCAGGTTCCTACGTATTCTACAGGACCCCGAACACACCCTGAAGCTCCCAAATCTAAGCAGCTAAAAACTGGGCTGAACTAGTCGGCCTCTGAGGTTTGGAACCATCTTCAATGTCATCGTTGATCCTGGATAACAAAGAAAGGAGTCGTTACAAGAAATTGATCAGCCAATCAGAAACTTCAGACACTAGATGGATGCGATCTAAACCTCGACTGCCTCTGAACATCCTTCCTAACCCCTTAATCCCTCAATCTCTATATAGAACGGGGACTACATAGTGGGGTTTATAGTGAACTCAGGTAACTTACTGTTCGGACAGATAATCACTACTTTTCTCTCCCCGTTGGCCACATGACTTCACCTCCCTGCACGGTGCCTGCACCATCTTTGTTTTTTGACACTGTCAGGTAGCGACAGCTGTAGGCAACAGCAGCCGCTGAGAAAACATATCCCATGATGCTTTGCAAGGACAGCTCTCCTCGCTAAGCATTCCTGGATATATCTGCTCGTCTAGTGACCATGGATGATCATTACTTTTCAAGGTGGATTCTGGCAAATTTCAAGTCCACTACTTTTTCAAACACTAGACATTCGGTTAATCATTTAAAATGGCGTGACCACTATATATACCCTATATGATAATTAGGGTGGACATTCAGATACAGGTCATTGTTCAGAAGTTTAAATCTCTGTTTCCATGGAAACCAAATAAAATTACCCGATACTGATGTGTGTTGCATGTATGCAGTGTTCGATCAGATCCAGAAAGCTAGAACTGTCTAGCTTTTGGGAAGCGCATTAGTAGTAGAAGAAGAAGCTTTTGTAAATAAACCCGTACTTATCCGGTCCTCCTCAGCTTTAGTTCTCTCTCTTTATTCTTGCTCCTCTTATTTATTTTTCTTCAGTTCTTCAGTCTTGTTGATGTTTTTTTTTTTCCCACTATGGACCTTTGTGGCATTATATTTTTGTTTTTGCTGATCATTTTAGGCGCTGAGTGATACCTTATACTAACATTCCTTAGCTACAGGGGCAGAGGGCAGGATGTTCATCCTTACATTACATTTAGAGCCATCTCCTCCACCAAGAAGACCAAAAGCCAGAGGATGAAAGCCAGTAGAGGGAAAAACATCCGGCTGATGATTTTACTTCAAAGATCGGAATGGGTGTGGACACAGACAGCAATCAGATAAAAACCTCTGTCCATCGGAAGGAAATTTCTTTCCAACGTGACCAAATTGGATTTTGACTCACATCTGATCAGGCCTTAAGTCAGTTTATGTGTCCATGGAAACGTAGTGGGGATTTTGCTATTCTAACCTTGTCAACTTATACAAAAGGTGGTTCCACATTTTCCTCCACTGTCCAGCTGTCCACCATGTTGAATAGAAAAACTCAGTGTAGTACAAAAATGTTAATGTCAGCTGATTGTGCAACAATACATTTCCAGACTAAAAAAGGAAAACGTTAACTCTAAAAAAACAATGGTTGCCTTTTATAAATGTTTAATTTGATAAGGAATTCTAGTTTTGGTCCCGATAAATCCTGCATACCAAGTCAGGAAGTCCCATTTATGTGATAGGCAATGTTTGTCTAATCATGGAAAATCTAAACAAACTTTCAAAGAAGGAGCTTATTGGACACAAAAGTTGTTTGTGTCCTGCTAATATTCCTGACCACGTCAGGGTCAAAGAAGGTGTTTGGTTTGTCTGGGAGGTCCATCATCCATCCAGATATTCTGAAGGAACTACTGTAGGAGGACAGGAGGTTTCTGGACCATAGACTTCGTAAAAAGACACTCACAGATGTATCTTCCCAGGGTTCACCAGAGGTTCAGGTTCTCTTCCATCCTCGCTAATGTCAGGTGTTAGCCTCATTAGCTAGCTACCCCAGACAGGTATGGCATTATCCGGCCTCTATCTTTTGGGCCCAGATGGTCGGGTTTTTTCAGGTCCTGAAGGGTCGAAGCTTCATGCCATAGCGGCTAAGATGATTGATATGATGGTTCTCCTTCATTCCCTCCAGTCTGATCACCGGTACCACTGACAGGAAAACAGCCCCGCAGCATCATGCTGCCTCTATCTTGCATCTAAATGTCTAAAGAAAGGTCTTTCTCTGTTTCTTTGTTCTGCAGCTAACATCCTCCTCCAGAGTGGGTGGGGCTCCGATGGGGCTGCTGTCGCCTTGACAACAGGATGATTGACAGCAGGCCAGCTGTTGTCTGACACCAACCATTCAGCGTTTGCTTTGAGAAGTTGGAGGCGTTAGAAAGCCTCGTCAGTTAATCCATCTGTCATCCAACCAGTCAGCTCCGTCCGCTCTCCCTGCTTTTTTAACTGACCAATCAGCTCCCTCGGTGCAGGAACAGGTTGTTTCATTGGTAGGAAACCTTGCATCTCCAGCTTTACTCAAACACGCCCCCTGGAGTCAGAACCTCATACTGAATAGCACCTATTATTAGCTCCTCGTCATGTTACTGAGCATGTGCAGGAATCTCTCTGTTTACACCATCATGTTCCTACGTCACATCAGGCATTTATGACCATTAATGAACCCAATCTGTGCTGAAAGTGAACAGAATCAGAGTTCTTGGTCAGAACCTCTCCATAGATACAAGGTTTCCCCCTGCTGGTCAGTTTAGGTATATGTAGTAATAAATTATGGTTTATTGTTGTCCTCAGAGATGAGCAGCTAGGTCGGCTTTATGCTGATGATATCCTGATCATCTTAGTTTTTTTTCAGTTTATTCACAGTTGATGGAACGCCTCCATCTACAGCTGACGTGCCCTCTGTTGTTCAGAGAGCTCCAGAAACTTCCAGCTTCTCCAGCATTCGATCTTCCACTGACATCCACCCCTCCCCACCCAGGGAGGGCCTAACGGGGTACCTTAACGAGCTGTCTGCTGCCAGTGCTCCTCCTCCATCAGCTGATGGAGGTTTACTGTTTGTCTGATATGTTTTCCAGAGAGAGGAAGAAAGCAGAGAGGGAAGGAAACAGGAAGAGGAAAAAGAAGGAATCTTGAAAAAAGTTTGAAGAATCCAAACTGTTCTTTAATTTGAACAACTAGATGTTTTCAGAACAAACCCAAACAGCCAATCGGTTTAAGTCCACCAGGTTGGACCCTTTTCCACCGTCCTTAGTCAGCGCAGTTCGGTTCTGTTGGACCCGGGCCGCCTTGCTTTGACTGTCTGACCCAAACTGAGAAGGTTCTCTGGCCAAACCCTGTAGAATAGAACTGACCTGAGTCAAGTGGAGAAGGGTCAGTTCTGGATCCATGTCCAACCACAGCCCTGACTGGGATCTTAGGGGAACGACATGAAGTAGAGCAGAACTACAAAAGGAGAGGGAACTATTTCACACATTCTACCGTTAAAACCCGGGTTCATTAGCAGGTAACCCTCCAGACTCAGAGACCCCGAAGTAAAATCCAGTAGAATCAACGACTTACAGAAGTCCAGCAGCTGGGATTTTAATCTGAGTGCTGCTGATCTGTTCCTGCCCTCAGAGGTTCTTTAGAGAACAACTAGGAACCCAACAGACAGCTCAAGGAAGAGGTTAAGGTCTAGAATGTCTCCCAGACTTCTGATCCATCCATCATCTGAACATGGAGAGGATGGACCAACCGCAGAGCCACCAGGACATGAAGGAACACCTAGGATGGAAGAGGAGAGCATAGATCAGAGAAGAAGAGCAGTGTGGAAGTTCCGGTGGAGCTGCAAGAATCAGGAGAATCTACAACTAGGACAAAGTTTCACTAATCTGGTGTCAGTGGTCAAAGTCCCGCTTGAAAGAAAATCAAACAAAGCAGCCATGAGGACCAAAGAGTTCTGATCACAGGAGACCAGAACAGAACATTTGGTTCTACATGTAAACACTGTATGGAAGAAGACTAACAGTGAACTCACCCATGTGGAAGCATGGTGGTGGCAGTATCTTGCTGAGGGAGGTGTTCCATTTCCTTCAACAGGATCGCCACCTTAAACAGCTCAGATTACAGCATCATAGTTTGGAATGGCCTAGTTAAAGTCCAGGCTTAGATCGGACCAAGATACATCAAAACAGACGTTCAGTGATCTTCTCCTTCCAGCTGAAGGAGGTTCTACAGAGTTCTGACTCCAACTTCTTCTGCTCTACAGTCATGTCCTTCACATTCAATCCAAATAAAATCCATTCAGGTTTGTGGTTCGGCCGTTTGTACCAGGTTGGACCGGGTTGTACCGGGTTGGACAGAGAAATGATTTGATTTCTGCTGCAGGTTCTGAGCATGTTTGTTTCAAACTGAAATAAAAATGTAACATCATTAAACCTGAACATAAGAATAATTTGGGTCATAATCAAACACTTTGAAATGGATCAGAACCCGCCTCAAGACCATCTTGACCTGTTGATTTGAAGATAGATATTTGGCTGGTAAGTCTGTAAGTACAGGTTCTGGTCTGTGGGTCCAAACAATTTGAGGGGGAGTTCTGAAAGGAACCACTTCCTGCATCCAAACCAGAACACCTTCTGGTTCTGATGTTGGATTGCGGTGTCTATAAAGGCGTCCTTAGACAGAACCCTGTATCGGACTCCATTGGACTCCTGTTGGGTTTGTTCTGAAGTCTTTTTGAGATTCTTTTTTCAAGCTGAGCTGGAGGATGAACTCGGTATGTCAGCAGCTCCGTCCGGGCGTCTCTGTGGGCCTGAGATGTTTGGAGGTTCTGATGGACCTTCTGCATGGACAGCTCCTATTCTTCCTTCTCGGTGACGATGTTCTGTACAGACTTTCTGCATGCTGGACTCAGTGTTTAGTGTTTGGGCTTCAGGCGCCGCTGCGTTCCGCACATTCACGGCTGGCGGACTCTCTGTCTCCAAGGTTTAGCCCTGTTAGCATTCCTCATTGGGAGCTAAGGGCCCGTTAGCCTTGACCTAATGAAACGCAGGCGGAGCCAACTTTGATATTCTGCCACTTTTGAGCCGTTGTGTTAGTCTCTGAAGCTTTAAGGAGCTTTTTACCGTCAGGAGAATGTAGAACTTTGTACAATCAGATTCTTACCATGATGATGATATTAATATTCCCCATTTATGGCTTCTGTATATTTAAAAGCTTTTTAATGTTGGGATCAGACGTCCTTCCAGTGCTGTGAGCTGCTATGAGCTTTCTGATCTCATGATGCGATTTGATGTTTAGCAGCTGCTGAATGTTTTGACTCTGCTGCTCTTCGGTTTGCTCCACATTCATTTGGGGAATGCCTGGAGTCCAGGTGGAGGAGACAGACCGCTTGGGTGGGGGCAATCCTTAGGGCGGAGCCTCTATAGGCTGTTTAGGCCACACCCACTGCCTCAGGATCTGCATGAAGCTGATCTAGAACCTTCGGTTAGGGTTCTCGTAATATCCCAAATTGATCCAGTGGCGCCACCAGGGCATTGCACAGGATGGCCATGGCCACTGGCCACCCCAAAAGTCACCCCACTAGCCAGCGTAAATTGTAGTAGCATCAGTTTAGCATTTCATCCCATTATGCACAATCAGCAATGTATCATTAAAAATCACGCAATAAACCAAGATATGAGTAGGCGTTTACTTAAATCTTTATTATTTCTACAGGCAGGTTTACCACAATAGTAGATTCAAACCCTAATTATGACTTATAGTTTCAGTTTGCCACCCCAAGATTTTTATTGGCCCCATTTGGCCCCCCTATGAGATGTTTCTGGAGGCGCCACTGAATAGACCCCCCCCTCGGTCTGCGGTGTCGCCCCAGCCCGGACTCCAGGTGGCACCACAGCGTTTTCTACAGCTTTCATTGGTTTCTACAGCTGCACCTTCACTCTAAACTCTTACGACACTTGAAAGTACTAATCTGTGGCGACCGATGCAAAAAAAATTCTCCCTGCAAATACCTGAGATGTCATTTTTTAGAGACTTTTAGTGTTTGATGCTTGAAGCTGAGTAGATTTCTGTCGTTCTTCTATAAAGAAAAGCTCTGCTGTTGTTCAGCCGCTGAACGAATCCAAAGCAGCGGAGCCGCTGGAACACAGACACCTTCAGGATCTGGACTCGTACGGGTGGGAGGTTCATGATGTGGGACCTCACCCGCAGCTCTGCAGACGGCAGCCGGTCGGGAAGCAGGAGGATGGTGTGACTCCACCTCACAGGAAGAAGCTTTACCTTCAGGCTTCCTGCTGGTTGTTTACATCCAACAAACTGTTCAGAATGAATCAGTGACGCTGCTGAATGTGCTCTGGTTTAAGGTCTGACCCAAAGAGACTCAGTCCTCCTGTTTTTTTGTCAGCTGTTGCTCCGAGGAACCAATCAGATGCTCAATAAGCCCTCACATCCTCAGCTTTTCTACTATGGTGATATTGTAGTGTATGGTGTTATCTGGACTTCTGCTGCATGCTCGGTGTGTAACTGGGAGTCTGAGGGTGAGAGTGTGTTTCTAAATGGTTTCTTTTGTAGCTTTTGGAGTCATTTCTTCTTCTGCATTGTGTTCAGTATGATTCTGTAAATAAACCAGGATGGTCAAACTCTGTTCTCTGATTGGTCTCTTTTTCAGGACAATAAGAGGTGTGCATCTGGTCGCCCCACCTCAGCCATAGCTGCAGATGTTTGACCTTTAAAACAGCTTCGGTGATGGGGTTAGGGAGCATGAGAAGACATCTGAGGTGGAGAAATCAGAAGATTTCAGACCCAACATAAAGTTGTTTATGCCATAGATGATTAAATGTAAGGAAAAGGAAAATACAGATTTAAAATAATAAAGAAATGAAGGCAAACCATCCAGAAGGTACTGAGCTCTGAAGCATTGGACCAGCTGCAGCACATGCTGGGTGGCCTCCACTTCCAGACGATGTTGCTCATTAGGTGGGGTAAATTTCAGAAGGCGGCATAGATGAGAGGGTGTATGGCCAATCACAACTGTAGAAACAAACACAATTTGGCAGCTGCTGTGTTTCTGTTAAATTTAAAGCCAATGCCAGTTTATTTGTGCAGCACCTTTCAAAGCAAAGACAATCCAAAATGCTTTACATAAAATAAACAGAAAAAAATAAAAGGAAATAAAGATAAGAACACAATAAAAGCAGGTAGTAAAACCAATGAAACAGTTGGACTACAACCTTAAACTAATGATATCTCAGTTAATAGTTTAACTTCAAAAGTCAAAGGCAGTTCTAAACAAATGGGTTTTTAGTTTTGACTTCAAGAACTCAGGCTTTCAGCACCTTTACAGTCTTCTGGGAGTTTGTTCCAGATCAGTGGAGCATAGGAACTAAATGCTGCTCCTCCATGTTTGGCTCTAGTTCTGGGTGGACAGAGTAGCCTGGAACAGAATAATGGGTTATGTATTGAGGTGCTGATCCATTCAAAGATTTATAGACTAACAGAAGGATTTTAAAGTGTATTCTCTGAGATACAGAGAGCCAGTGAAAGGACTTCAGAACCAAGTGGATGTGCTCTACTTTATTAATGAGAACATTTAGAGCATCATTTTTGATCAGCTGTTTGATAGACTTTTTTGGCAAACCTATGAAGACACTGTTGCAGTAATTAATTCTACTAAAGATAAATGAATGAATAGGTTTCTCTAAATCCTGCTTCAACATTAGTCATTTAATCCTGGAAATGTTCTTCAGGTGATAAAAGGCTGACTTAGTAACTGCCTTTATGTCCATTAGGGCACCAAGATTTTGGCCATCCTGTTTATGTAGGTATACTTAGAAATAAAGGAGCAGACAAAATAGCTAATAAAATCTAAACTAAAACTAATATTATAAATATACCGTATGAGAAAGGAGAAGCCAAGAGAATAATAATAAAAAAGAGGAATCAATGGCAGGTTGGGACAATGATAGAATTGGAAGGGATTATTATAGTGTGCAGAAATCTACACATGCAAAGGATGCGACTAGAAAGAACTGAAGAGAAGAAAATATATTGACTATATTAAGATTTGATCATACTGGGTTAAACAAAACATTTTTAGATGAAGTAAAAGTCAAAGTGATGAATGTTTAGTATATAAAATATGAGCAATTGTAGAACATATATTATTACTGTGTAGGAAACATGAAGAAGAAAGTATGAGATTAAAACAAAAGATGAGCCAGGGAGGGAGATGAATCTTAGAAGTTTAGCAGGAACAACAGGAGAGGAGATTCAAGAAAAACAAAAATATAGAAATATATCATAAGATTTAGTTAGAATTAGATATTGCAGTTTTTTTAACTTCTAATTTGAAGTGATCCTCGCCTATTTTGCATCCCCAAATGGTAAAGAAATAACTTAGGAACTGTAAGCCCAAATTACATGTGTTATACATCATTTAAAAGCTAACACATTCTAGTTTCTGAATATATGAATGAAAATTAGATGAGTAAAACACAGCTCAAGCTGCATCAGTTCAAACATGACTCTTGAAAATGGGAGGTATTTTTTGAACAGCAGCAATAAAGTCATGCTTGAGAATATGCATGTCTCAGTGTATTAAATTTGTTCTAAATTATGTCAACCAGAAATTCAGAAAATATCAGACCTCTAGCAGGGGCGGGTTTAGGAAATTTGGGGCCCTAGGCAAAAACAGGCATGGGGCCCGCTAAATTGACCCATTATAGAGATACAGAGATGTTAATAGAATAGACATCCATTCTCCAGGTTTTGTCCCTCTCTTCTTGTCCCTTTTCTTGTTGTTTTCCTCTCTGTGTTTTGTACTCAGC